AAGTTTCTCAAGGAATAAATTTATCGCTTTTTTAAAACTCGAGGAATCGGGTAAAAGCAGAATATCTTTAATTTCTTCTCCCGTCTGTTGGGAACGTCCTGTGTGGGTGCCAGTGATACTTTACTCAAAGATTAAACATCATCTAACCTGCAGTATAAAATCTCGGCACGTGTTTCCTCAACTTTTTGGCTGCACCGAGTGGTTGTTTCACAGTGATTACTCAAGCAGAAAGGATTTATTAGCTGATATCCTATTAATCGGAAGTAGTTAAGATCTTTTCATGGTCTTCGCCATCATAAATCTGCTCTTTTACGGTATAACAAACAACCCATCACGTCTGAAAGAAATATCTTGCAAGCATTTGTTTCTGTTCTCAAATGGCAGTCCTGTTTTTGATGTATGCAATTTTTAGGCGTATTAAATATTTACGGAATATTTATCAGCGCGTACGAGATTCGCAAGGCGAATTTTTTTTTTAAAAAAAAATATATTACGTCCATTTTGAAACTATATGCTCGAAACTGTATTTTTATAATCGTCAGCTCATTGCAAAATAGGTTTTCCATTAATCACACTCGTGTTTACATCCGCTGCACACAAATCATTAGTGACATCATCGCTGGGGTAACAATCAGTGTTGATGACGAGAAATGTTTCGAACTGAGTTCCAGCATCCGTCGAGAGATGGTGTTCCAGTGCGTATAGTAGCCGATGGAGTGGTTCGAACTTCCTGACAAGTTCGTAATTAATTAAAAGTTTTAAAATTAATTCTCCCGCGTATCATTAATTTCGTAACCTGACTGCTCTACTTTTGCAACGGACTAGAAGCGATTTGCAGACTTAACCCGAAGAATGTTTTAAATTATTCAAGTTAAGCGTGTCTGCATGTTTCAGCACGTAATATCGTCTGATTACAGGCTTCTAAGAATGGACTGTCCAGTGTCAGTCTGTTGAGAATTCGTTCATATTTCCAGAAGTAAGAGATGTGCATTGCAAATGTTTTGTGTTACTAATGGGGATCTGTGCCTTGTTTGTTACAGCTGGATCTGTGATGACGGAAGAGGTTAAGGACACACGTGAAGGCGAAGACGTGTCCTTGGAGTGTAGGTTCGCGCCTCACTTGGTGAGCGGTGGACAAGAGAACACGACGTTCTATTGGTCGCGAACCAACAAACAGAACAAAGACAGTGTCGCCATCCACCAGACGCCGCTGGATCCCAACTACAAAGTGGACTTCAGGCCAGACCAGGGCCGGTACGACCTCAGGATCACGAACGCCAGCTATGACAGGGACAACGGGAAATTCGAGTGTCGCGTCAAGGCCTCTGGTAGTGGTCGTAACATACATTTCCAGGCCTTCGCCCTGACAGTGCTCACACCTCCAAGTCCTCCACACATTTCACCGGGAGTCAACCCCACGCTCACGGAAGGGAAGACCGTGGAACTCACATGTTCGAGCACCGGAGGAAGCCCCGATCCTGTTATAAAGTAAGACACCCCTCCCCCCCCCCCCCCCCCCC